ATCCCTCATACCTACCTACCTACCTACGAATCCCTCCTACCTACCTACCTACGAATCCCTCATACCTACCTACCTACCTACGAATCCCTCCTACCTACCTACCTACGAATCCCTCATACCTACCTACCTACCTACGAATCCCTCGTACCTACCTACCTACGGATCCCTCATACCTACCTACCTACGAATCCCTCATACCTTCATACCTACCTACGAATCCCTCCTACCTACCTACGAATCCCTCGTACCTACCTACCTACCTACTGACTTAACTATCTACCCACGCACCCACCTACCTTCCAAACCATATTTCCTTACCGATCTATCTGCCAGTCATCTTTCCTACCTGTTCTCCTTGTTTACCTACCTTTCTACCTATCCACGCACTGACGCACTTATTTACCTTCCCACTAGCACTCACCTTTTTTACTTGCCACTTACTACTCTCCCATTCTTTCCACCGACCTACTCACCTGCCCATCTGGCTGCCTATCAGCCTTTCAAACCGAACTCAGTTGTTCCTTATCCATTTTCTTCGCTTCCATTTCGTAGCACTTAGTGCGCGTAAATATTCACCGTTTCTGTTTAAATGTTATAGTAATTTGTTGTTTCTTTTACAGGAACTGGCAAATTAGGTTTTTCGTTTGTACGTATTACGTCGCTCATGTTAACCAATGACCGTCTTTGGGTGGGAACAGGAAATGGTGTTATTCTGTCGGTCCCATTAGTGGCCGCACGTCCTGCTAGGGATGACGGAGAAGCACAAACAAGTTCCCCTGGGACAGGAGCGACAGGAGGTCCAGGTGGAGCGGTTCGAGTGTATAGTAACGAAGGCAAAGATGGAGACACTCCCAGGGGCTCAAGCTTTATGCCTTACTGCTCTATGGTGAGTAGGGAAACATTCGTACATCATCGATGGTTTTTCAGTGCAATTCCGTCTCCTTTTTTTTTTTTTTTTACTACAGAAGATGCCCTTTGGCTCTTTTAATTTGGTATTCCAAATGTTTATATGTCCAAAGCAGGAGAAGCAGACAAGCTTGTTGTTTAGACTTGATTAATATCCCTTCCCAGAAATGTAAGCATTCGAGATTTATCAAGACAAGGTTGGCAGTAACCTAAAGGTTGAAACAAACGAAGCGAACGTAGCAGATGCTCCCTTCGATAGTTCACGCCTTTGTATTATCGTTACTCTTCTGAACACTTTACTTGCCCTTTTTACAAATGAACTTCTTTGTTTTAGGTTAACGCCCAGTTGTCCTTCCACGGTCACCGCGACTCGGTAAAGTTTTTTGTAGCCGTCCCAGGCTCCATGAAGAGAGTCTCTCAACCAGCGCCATCCAACAGATCAACAAGTCTCAGTGGCCCACCCGCTAAGTCTAGCCCAGAGAAGACTGTGACCGAGTCTATGCTTTTGGTGTTATCAGGGGGAGAGGGGTATGTCGATTTCCGGTTGGGAGACAACGAAGAGACTGCTTTGGAAGAGCAAGGTGGTGATTTGATATCTGTCACAACTCGTGGTCAATCAACCAATGAGAGAAGCCATATTATGGTTTGGCAGGTGTCAGTCACATGATGACCATAGGTATGGAAAGCGTTAGGTCCTGTTCTGTGCTGCAAATAGCGTCACAAGTGCAGAAGTGTTGCAGTTTGTAATCATTGAATAACTAGCGCGAAGGAGTCTTTACTTTTCTGAAGACATTTCCCATCTCACGCCGCTACAGATGGCAAGCCATACTGTTACTGGTTACGTTTTATGAAATAATTGGAATTTGACCGTGTCCTTGTAAGTCTGTAGGATTAAATTTGCTTCACTTAACAGGACCCACCTTTCCGAAGCAACAAATAAGAGGTTAAAAATAATTTTTTTCCAAAACTCATTTTATTTGTCGATAGACATGTATCATTCACATATCACGACAGCAATGTAATGGCACTGAACCCTTTCACTCCCAAGATGTCATTAGCAATTTTCCTTACGGTCTCTCCTACAATTCGGTATTGGATCAGCTAACAATCTAACTGCCTTTTTTTTATGCTTGATATTGTAAAGAGAAATTCTTTTAGTCACTTTTGGAAGTGAAAGCGTTAAGTAATTTTCTTGGTTCTTGTATTACACACACACGTAAGTTAAACATAATTTAGTTTTAGTGCCTTTTGTGACTGATCAAGTTCGTTGGTCTGTTTCAGTTTTCTGAAGTATTTGTAAATAAGTTGCCAATAATTTCCAGAGTTACGAAATGTATTTTTGGTGGTACGTTGCTAAATTGAGCATTAGTGTTAACTATTTTCCAAGGTTTATTGCCAGTAATAATTGCAACGTAACGAATTACAAATCAAAATATATATCAGGTCATACAATTATCATTTAGTGGAAAGAAAATCGACATGAAAATTAGAGCGCGAAAGGTATACTAAAAAGATTATTAACATTTAATTTTGCCATAATGGCCAGCAGCAAAGGGTATCGGTGAGTTTCATTTTTACTGAAGATTGATGAGAAAAACTTTGAATGGTTTCTATTTTCAACTTTGCACAGGTGTGAAATGAAAACTCACTGTTTCCGAGGTTATAGCCAGACTTAGCTCTTTTCCTTTTTAATGTAAAAAAAAAAGAAAATCTGTTCTACACGCGCCACAACCGCAAATATATCTTACAAAATGCAATCCTGAGTCACGTAACACGTTCATCCATTAGAAAAAAAGCTTATTTTAATCGCGGGTTAAAAATACCTTTTTTTAAAGTCTTTCTTGACTATGCGAGGGAAATGTTGGACTTGGTGCAAAATTTTATTACAAAAAGTGTATCTCTTCATTCATTGATTTTTGTGAATTAAAATTCGTGCTGTTAAGGAAGACGAAAGGGGCATGCAGGGCCGGCTCATTGCTTTAATTTTGCAGTATTTTGCATAGGTTTACTACCCAAAATTGTTAAGTGAGCATGAGGTGTCTGTTCGGCCGAAGAGTGATTATCGATCACTTAAATTTTTACATTTGAAGGAATAGATGGTCGTAAAAAATGAGTAAATTTGTATTCAAAGTAATTTTCCCCATATCTTGTAATATTGTTTTGTAGTTTCTCGACATTATGCCCATATTACCTCTCTGCCTTAAAACAAGGTTAGTGTCGTCCCTGACATAAAGAGATGCGTTTTGGTCAAGTTCAATCAAATATTACTCTCAGAATTAATTTATTATCAATAGCCCATAGCCTCGTTTGGCGTCCAAATAATATGGTAGCTGACTTCAGTGAAGGTTCAATAGTCTTTTGGTTCTATGTATTTATTTATTGTCTGTGGTTTTGTCCATTTGTTATTTTGAACTAATAAAATAATAAACAGATACTAGAATTAAAAAGTTTCATTTTAGACTTTTGAATTTGAGCCTCGTGGGTTACAGGGTGGCTAATTTACTTAAAGCTCATCACAACTTTCCGAAGTCAGGATGAAAATCTTAACGGTTTGGTAGATACAGATGAACAGGTTTGTGTAATCAGTTGTTAAACACAGTTTGGGGAACAGAATGATTAGAAATAACAACAACAAAAAAGACAAACAAGAGTCGAAAGGAATCGGAAGTGTCATGGCATCACGTAAGGTCCATCTTTTAAGTAAATTCGATATTTCCTTTACCTCAAGTTAAAAACGTGCGACGAGATAAACAAAACCTTACACTGGGAAGAGGATTGTCCGTTCATTTAAGACTAAATGAAGGAATAGTTAAAACATCAACAGCCACTTGCACTATTTTCTTTGTACTTAACTTTTCGCTTCACAGCAAGACATTTTGTCTCGCATTCCTTCAGTTGAAGGATTTTTGTTTCCGTGCACAGTGACCATTCAATTATTCAATAACTTGGAAGTTTACCAATTTCTATTTCTGCAGATTAAGGTCAGCAGGGTACTGATAAAACACAATGAACAATAGTATAGTGAGCAAACATAAGGCATTAATCACGTTCAAATCCCATCTTTAGAGCCAACTCTTGACCTTAAATTCCTTCCAAGAGCTTCTGGGTATCTATCAATTGTATGAAAAATCAGCCAATATTCCTGTTTTAAAAATGTACAGATACGTAGAAGCTATAAAGTGCGACTTTTAGCCCGGGCGAAGATGTGTATATGGCCCACACCAGTTTGGTTCCGCTATGTTACGGATTACTATTGTTGTGTTTTAGAATTCCCCTGCAGGCTTGATCTTATCCAAAGTCAGCCTAAAATGATAATGTTCCGGCCTCTATTGAAAGCCAGAAATAACGCGAGAATGTTTTTTCACTTTACCGGGCTAAATGTTTTCAGTAAGTGGACTGAGTAGTTGTTATCAATCTTACGTTGACGTAATGATTGACTGGATCCTGTTATTGTCACGTTTGATTGGCTTACATCCAATTGATGACAAACCGGTAGTCCGACTACAGTTTTGCTTCTGTGCCAAAAGGTTATAAATCCGCAATCTTTACTTCACCACTCATTCCTGTCTCGCACTTCTTCCCTGCCACCTTCAGAGCCGAGCCTTGATTCCGTGAGATCATACTAAGCATGAAGACGTTTGCAAGTGTTTGTGTCATTCTGTGCTTGGGTAAGTTTGCTTTCTTGGTCCTCGATACGAATATTAAAATGTTTAGTACTTGAGCTTATGATTAGGAAGGATGGATTAGGTGAAAAGCTAGAATGCTTATAATCCAAATCTGGTGGCGTCAAACAGATGCTCGACTACCTTACGAACACTATCTCTATGTAAAGGGGTTAAAGTTGTTTCACCCTAACTTTTTGTATATCTATGAAAGATTGTACGTTTCCTTACCAAGTTGCAAACATAATTCCTGGATAACGCCGCAGAGAAATTAGACCGCAAAGAATCTATCCCTTTAATAAGAGATTATTCCCCTTTCGATGGATTAATTAAAAAGTTAAAATATCATTTTCAGAACTTCTCTCAGGATGCTTTTGACGTTTTCTTGCTGTGTTTACCCTCTGAGTGCTGTTTTTAGGCAAAATAAAATTCTAGAATGTAACACTACACCCGATAACTTTGAAGTTTAACACATAATAAACATCTGTGCTTACCGTGGGCACAAGGAAGGGAAGGTGGGCAAAAGCGGATTCACTGGAGTGAGGCTCTACCCAGTTTCTTCACGCTTTTTCCTTAAAAAGGGTTACTTCTTAAAATTCAGTCATATCTCGCAGTTCCAGCTTTCTATGCAGCTCCAAAGCTAACCTGTATACGATCTCTAAAGTGCACGGTTGCGCATCAGGGATGTTACGTGGTTGATGGGCTCTGTCGCTGCGATCAGGCACTGTGTTGCAACAATCCCTTCAATTACTCAACACTGGAAAGCTGGTTGGCGGATAACGCGCTTCAGTTAGGTGGGTAAGAACATTGCTTGTTTTACTTCCGGTTGGACAATGAAAAAAACATAGAGACATACGAACAACACCGAAAAATAACACCAAAACTTAACTCGAACCGAGGTAAGTGGTAAGTGGCCTCTAAGACTGACATGATTAAGTGTTGCGTGGGATGGAATGCGTCAAATGCTCTCACAAAAATCTTACTATCATAGTTTGCTGACGACCAAATTTTTAATTGTCGTTATTCAGAGGATCCATGTAAAGATGATCCATGTAAGAACAATGGTTATTGTGTTCAACTGATGGGTCAGTATTCCTACCGCTGTGATTGTTATGGTACAGGATACTTTGGACCTCACTGCCATAAAAGTAAGTAACATTATCATCTCTTCTTGATTGCCACAAAGCGCCCGAAACGTGGGAGAATTCTGTTAATTTTTTTCCTTTTTTCTCGCTATCAGAATGCCCAAAAGATGCAAGAAAGGAAATATACAGTTTAAAAGGAAAAACAGAAGAGCACGCTCGTAATAGGAAGCGTTATCTGATGGCGTGCCTTTAAATTATGTATTCTAATGACAGAATAACCATGGCTGATAGATTAATGAAAATTGACATTTTGTTAATAGATGCCAATACGGATAGTCAACGCCATGTATAAGAAAAAAATAACAACCTAGTTATAAACTGGATCCATCTTTGGTCATTTAGTTACCCACGAGTCACCCATGCTATGCCATGTGCAGATTTGACGATGGTAATGCATTAATCGTAGCACATTAGGAAAGTAAATTTCTCTATTACGTGGCTAATAGTTTACGGTGGACTTTTTATATATACATTAGATAACGATCCTGTTGTAATCAGATCAAACTTGAGTCGAAAAAAATATGGAAGAGAAGTTTGATTTTGAAAAACTAAAGACTCAGTAGAGCAATAGAATAGTGCAGTAAAGTTGAACATTGTTTGTTCTGAAAATAATGGCAAACTAATGAATTTCTTGCAACGTAAAACCAGATGAAACCTTAACAGGCCAGAGAAAGTTACCTTATTTAGCAAACATGAGTGGGCATTAGGGAAGATAATTAAACCTGTTGTCCTTCACAAAAGTTCCGTACCTTTTCAAACTGGCAATAAAAGTTGCAAGTAGCTATTTACTTTGCATTCATAAGAGTTAACTGGTATAATTTCATCATAATCTTTTAATGGTTTTATCTTCACTTAGTATCAATTTTTAAGAAATATAACATGTCTGTCAGCTAAAGCATGGTGTAAGTGTGTCGTGATGAAAGAATAACCATGTAGAAATGAAATGAAGTCCCCATAAAAGCACTCTGTGCATCATTGTGTGGTGTATTAGATTGGCAACCACAGCCTTTTCTTTGAAACAAGCACCATGGCCTAAATTGCCAGTAGTCAGTTAGTGAATTTCACTTGACATGTCAAGGCTTACCACAAAGTCACTCAAGGTGACAGAAGCAAATGTTTATAACTGGAACCGATAAGGCATTAAAAATACTATATGTATATGATTACCTTACTTGAACTCCACAACATAAATACTTTGAAAAACCAAGGCTAGAGCTTGTTACACGACTGCCAAACACTGATTGCCAAATATGGCTACAATTTGTGGCCAACAACATTTTTTACCTACTTGCCAAGGTGGTCAAAACAGTCAAAGCTCAGAGGGCTGTTTAATAGTGAACACGTATGAATTGCTATTCTGACTATAACAAATATAATCTGTTAACTCTAGGAGTCATCATACAAAAACCCCAAACTCTCTAGTACGCAGGTTTGTATTTTTCAAAGGGGAACATTAGTGAACAGGTAAGAGACTGATTCACCATTATGCGTTCTGCGGATAGCCTCAGCAAGGATCATGGAAATATCAATGCACTAAGAAAAAAGAGAAAGAAGGGGAAATTAAAAGCAACCCTTTACATCCTTACATCAATATGCATATTCTCTATACTGTTCTCTATACATTTCTTAAGGTGCTGACAAAGAGAATTTGTTTAACGATCAAGAGCTCTTTTAGTGGGTTGTTATTTCCTTTATTCACGGTAAAGAGAAATTAAATGCTGGTCACTTCTAGGGGTCAAAAGGTTAAGAGATTTCTAACCTTAATCTTTGCACAATTTTCCATTTTGCTTTCTTGTGGGATGGTATTTGTGACTACAACAGCTTCAAGATCACTTTCTTCAATTCTCCGCAGAGCAGGGCCAGAGAATATTCCATGCGTCAGTATAGCATAGACTTTAGCAGCACCAGCATCTCTTAATCTGGTGGATTAACAAAAGGAACAGTTAAAATGCTTGAGAAATCTGCTTACATAATGAAAAAAAAAATATGTTGGGATGAGTGAGAAAGAGAAGAGGGAGCACAAAGGATAGTAGCTGCTCCACCACTTTTCAATTCCCTTTTCTCAAATTCCTCTCCTCTGAACATTATTAACCTGGCACAGGTGACATTGAAAGAAATCCTTTACTCAATCTGAACAAGTTCAAAATCCAAAATAGAAGGTCTACAAAAAGTTTGAAGACAAACATACATCAAAAAAAGATCAAAATGCTCTTAGGACATTGGCCTATGTGTAATTTGTGGTGGAAAACTTACTTCTGAGCTGCAAGTGTTAGTGTTCCACAGGTGTCAGCCATGTCATCAACTAGTATTGCTGTACGATCTTTAACATCTCCAACAAGAACCATGCTGGCCACTTCATTGGCAACTTTTCGCTGATCAGTAACAATTAAAAAATAATTATTGATGATCTTCTGCACGATAAATATATCTTATTAACCAAGCGCGAGGGCCGTACTGGGAGAATATCGGCCCGAGGTCTTGACAGTATGACCAAGCGTAGCGAGGTCCGCACATAAAAGACCGTGGGCCGATATTCTTCCAGTATGGTCCCGAGCAAGCTTGGTTAATAAGAGATTTATTATATGACTGAAGTTCAAAGGGTCACAAGTGTGGTATCATTCGGGACCATTCGGGACACTGCCCGGTCCAATACTTAGAGAATATTGGACCGGCAATAGAGCATTTTGATTGGTTGATTTTAGTTATTGGCCCTCTGACTGCCTGAGTAGTGTAATAAACAATGCAAAATTGATAGTGTTTATTTGCTCAGATGAAAATTTATATTTCTGCAGAACAGAAAATCACTTGTTCCCAGATGTCATTCTGTAAAGAGGCTGTGGATGAAGTTCAGTTTCCTGTTCTGGATTTCATGTTTCAGTCTAAATGTTTTGTTCTGTGATTGATGAATTTAATTTCCTAATGCAACTTACTGCAGTGATTACTTGTTGGAAAATAAAAAATCATCAAAATGACACTTGTTGTATTGCACCAATAATGTGTGAATGTATAGCCATTGGTAGAGCCTTAAATTGTGAAAACTAAAATCATCATGGGGAGGGGAGGGGAGGGGTCAATGAAAAATAGTGTGGCACAGCTTTTGATGCCGGCTGTTTTCTACAAACCTTACCTCCTTATGAATCAAGGCAAAGCCAACATTCAAATGATCAGCAATGGATGTTACTCTGAAAAAACACAACAATCAAAAACTATACCAACTAAAAAAAAATTTCAATGTACACAGAAGATACTTAAGTTAACTGCATCTGCCCTAATGTTGATCAAGGTGTTGTGCATTGTTTCAGATTAAGCTCTGATAAAACAGAAGATGTAAGAGTCTCTAGCCAGGGAGCTCTTGCAATGATACAAGTTGAGTATCTTTGTAATGCTGGGAAAGTAGCAACATGTCCTTGCAGTTCAGACCTTTTAGCTCCTCCAGCATCAGGTGAAACAATAACTGCTCGTTCCCACTCAGGAATGTGTTCTCTGATCCACCTTAACACAGCAGGCTCTGCATACAAGTTGTCCACTGGTATATCAAAGAAACCCTGAATTGAAGAGAATAATTGAATCATAGATAATTCACCTAATAAATCCACAAAAAGTAAACTGGCTCCATGGGTACAACTACTTTTAATCCTTAATAATGTGGTTGGCATGACTCATGGGAGGTAAGAATTGAAATACTTCTCTTTTTTTAACTACAAGACAAACATCTTTTGATTCACTACCTTAATTTACACACACCATACTCAATTTTTACCATCAATAAGAAATTCAATGCACCGGAAAATACACCAAAAGGTATTTCAGTCAATGATAGGTATTTGTACAATTGCTTACATAATTACAAGAATGTATCCACTCATATTGGTTGACAATTATGCCATATCTTCCCAGAATCACCTTACCTCAAGCAATAACAACACTACATGGCAGTCACACAAGTTCATGATGTTTTAAGAGAAAACAAGTAAAATGAAAGAAAATGCATTTACTCTGATAATTGCCTGAGCAATCATACCAAACTAATTAGTCTCCAATAATCCTCTCAGCTAAATTCACTATGCCTTGAGCAATTAGTATCAAAAAATGGTGATATCATTTTCAACATTTAAAAAAAACCTGCTCATACCTGTATCTGTGAAGCATGAAGGTCCATAGTAATAATATGATCTGCACCAGCTACTGACAACATGTTTGCAACCAGTTTAGCTGAAATTGGTGCTCGACTCTACAAAAGATTTAGTTACTAGTTTTAGCACCTTAAGCAAACCATTGAGCAACATTTCCAGTCAATATTGAGTGATAAATTAAAGATTTGTAAGAATCGGCTGTGGTTTTTGATAGCTTTAAAATTGTTTAAGTTAATTTTTTTATTTATCAGATTTATCATCTACGGGTTTATGTCGAATTAATTTGATGGCCTGCTCCCAGTTGGCTTGTTAGCTCAATTGGTAGAGCGCTGCACTAGTATCGCAGAGGTCAGTGGTTCGAATCCCGTACAGGCCTGAAATTTTTTCAGGTCTGATTTTCACTATTGCTCAAATAGTGCTTTACTGCGAAGGATCGTGCTCATATATGTTAATTTTTTTAGTCAAAACTCTGTCAAGATTGCAATGATATTTGTCTCAGCCCATGTGCTTTTGAGGCTAGGCTGTTAAGGCAATTCTTAACATCAGTTTATCAAGGTTTATCATGTGTTTTCTTTCAAATATCATGTGTTTTGTTTTGAACTACACCAGTCCTGTGGCAGGATAATCAGTAACAAAGTTTTGAATGAAACTTACTTAAGGAAAGAAAGCATAATTTTACTAACCTTGTCCTTCTTATCTTGTCTTGCATATGGAAAGCATGGAATAACAGCTGTGACACGCTGGGCTGAAGCAATCTTACAAGCATTGATCATGATCAGCAGTTCCATTAAGTTATCATTTACATCACCACAACCACTTTGCACAATGAAGACATCTTCTCCTCGCACTGATTCACCGATTTCAACACTACAGAACAAGGAGTAAGTTTAGTGAAACCCAGTACCCGGGCCAGTCTGAAGCTATGCATTCAAAATGTTGCAATTTCCTAAAGAACTGACTACATCATTGGAGAACAACATAGACAACCTTCTACAATTAATATAAACTGAAATATGTTCAGGTAGAACACTGTTTCTCCTTTATGGTGTTTAATACATGAACATTACCACTACTTGATTCTTTGTCTATTGTACATGTAGTTGATGGGATTAAAAACTGTTTCTTTTATAAAAGGCAAAAACAATCTCATCTCTCTGACGTGAAATACTGAAAATGTAGAAAGTGATATATGTAACACTTTCCAACAAAAAGAGAAGTGAAAACATCAGAATCAACTGTTCTGAGGTATAAACATTGTCCAAAACGCTGACGACTGTCCAAATAACACTAAAATGAATTGTGTCAAATAAACGAGTGACCACGTGCTTAATCGAGGCTCGAGGGAAACAAGTCAGTTCGTGAAACAATCCTTGACAAGTCTTCAGAGTTCTAAACGTAGCCAGTAAAACATGAAATCCAAAAGCAAATTAGGCAATTAACCCAGCAGACTGTGTTTTTTAGCAAACTTCACCAAGACATTCACCAGAAGACTGACATGAAGGGTAATAATACGATTGATAGCAGCACCATGGAAGATTTTCCCATATTTTCTAAGGTATTCCACGATTATTAATTAGCACTTTTTCAGATTTCCAAAAGTTGACCTTCGTTTCTGTTTGTTCCCCTGTATTACGCTTGTCTTTTTCTTTTTCTTTTTTTTATGACACAAAGCTGCAGTTGTGAGAAAAAAGTTGAGCTCTTAAGACCTCATAAACCGAGGGAAACGGTGACAAGACATTCTCACCTGGTTTCCTTGTTTGAGAATTTTTTCAACACACACTTCCCCAGTTCGTTCCCTAATCGTTCTGAAATCAATTTAGCCAGTAATTGATGAGAATTTCCTCCAAAAATCTTAATGTTCGGCATATTTGAGAACTTTCAACAGGCAAATGTTGGCGGCAAATGTACCAAGAGCAGTCACATGAGCCGTGTAACAACAAACTAAACAAAGTGGAGGTAGTGGGGAGGTGAGGGGGGGAGGGGGGAGGCACATGAGGTTCTCAGGGTCCTCATTACTTGTGTAGCCTCAAAAAAGTGACCTAGTAAGAGAATTTTCTCCGCTTTTCCTTAACAAAAGACCGTGGACTGGTCTTCTCTTAGTCTGAATTAACAGAAATGATGTTTTTTTTTTCCCCAAAATTTCTCAGTGGTCGAAAATGTTCTCCTGATCCCCAAACTCTTAAGATGGCGTGACTCTCCGCCAGAATCGAGGCAGATTGTAGGGGTAAACTAAGATAAACTGAATAATTTTCGAGTGCAGCACAGTCACATGATTCCAAAGGGTAAATTAAACTTTAAAGTTTTCATTTTACGATAATAACGTGACTCCAATTATGTGATAAAACAAAACAGCATATGCTGAGTCTAGCCAGCAGCGCGGTCTCAACTCTTTGTTATTCTAGGCTTCTTCTTCCTTCCTGATCCAACCCTTTGCTTTAAAAAGACTGGTAAAGAGTTGAAAAACACGTCTTTCCAAAACACATAGTACATTTTTAATTCACTTTTATTCCTCATCTCTTCAATTTAATTTTCTGTCTAACAGCGAGTGTAATCACTAAGAAGTTCCTTCGTATTTCAGTTATTTTCATTCTACAGTAATTTATCACTCATAATATTCAGACTACGCCTATCTTAAACAAAAAGGTACTGAAATACCAGCTCGAGGCACAGGCAGCCCAAGCTCACTACTAGAAAAGCGCACGTGACTCTTACAGTGTTGCGCAACGTTTTATATTTATAAAGGTTTGTATGGGATGTTATCGGTTTGCCTTAAAAGAGAGAAAAAATGTCTTGTTTTGAAATAAAATGGACTTACCTTATTGCCTTGTTGTTTTCTTTGTTGATTCCTAGCGTCTCAGGCC